GAAATAAGATTTAGAAAAATTGTCTGTTCTTGTTCCTTGGTTTTAGTGAATAAAGGGCAAGGTATTTTGTAAACATAACACACCACATTTTTGCATGTGATTTTCTGTAGGCTCTCTGTAGAACAATTAAAATTTGAAAAGCTGAAATAATATTTTATATTATAAATTCAAAATATTTAAGCAGTTTATAGATTACCAGTCATACAGAAACACAATATAGATTGGTGAAAATTAAACTGCAGTATCTTTTTACAAATGTATGTGTCCCTATACTTATTTTGCATAAACATCTACAATCTTATGTGGAGTTACTCTGTCTCATAAATTAAAAGCATGTTTTGTAATTATATAACTAATATAGTGAAACAATGGTTGGATTGTTCTGTTTTACACATCTAGTATTTTATTTCTATAAGATGCTGGATAAAGTTTTGCTTTATTTAGTTATTCTTAAATATGAAAATGGTCCCTCTTTTTTTTTTTCACAAACTATGATGTTGCAAAATTACTTCACAGATTAATGAAGATTCCTCAAATGTAAAGTGCAAAACAAAACATACATAGGAATTAAAAATTGTTACATGTAAAATAAGTGATGGTTTGCAGCTGTACTTCAAATGATCTTGCAAATAGAAAATTGGCAATAGAAGGTAGAACTCTTCATTGCTAGGAAAATCACATTCTATTCCCAAATTTATTATGCTTGAAAGTACTGTTTATCATTTGATAGAAACATGAGATAAGTAGGAATCTTAAAATACACATCACAGTTTCAGCTACCTGACATCTTTGTAGATAGTTTGAACAGATAGATAAATTAACCTATTCTCTGAGGATCTATGTATAGTTGAGGAGCAGGGTAAGGGAATGACAATGGACAGATGTGATGTTTTTCCAGAACTACTTGTTAGTGCAGAAAAGATCACTGCTCCCACTACTTGCTCATCATCACCCCTTTTCAAGAGGTTATTGACCCTGGATTACCAGCAGAGTTGCTCATATGAGCAAACAAAATGAGACTGGCAGGCTAACACTGTTTACATTCACAGCCTGGATCTCTGCTACTCATCTGCATCTGTCTTCTTTTATACAGGACCTCTTTTCAGCAGATGACCAGCTGTCCAAGTCTACAAAGGGTTTGTAGGAATAAAAAATTGCAAATAGCAAAATTTGCAATCTTAGTAAGTAAAGTGTTAACTTTACGTCATTCTAGAGTCTCTGAAAGATTTTTTTAGGCAGCAGAACTGACTGGGAAAAGAATTTAGCAGCTTTTCAAATATGAACTACATTTTTACCACACTTTCAAAAAAAAATTGCAGATGACACCAAGTTGGGTTGAAGTGTCAATCTGCTGGAGGGTAGGAAGGCCCTACAGAGGGACCTGGGCATGCTGGATCGTTGGGCCGGGGCCAACTGTATGAGATTCAACAAGGCTAAGTGCTGGGTCCTGCACTTCGGTCACAACAACCCCATGCAACGCTACAGGCTTGGGGAGGAGTGGCTGGAGAGCTGTCTGGCAAAAAAGGATGTGGGTGTGTTGGTACACAGACACATGAACATGAGCCAGAAGTGTGCTCAGGTGGCCAAGAGGTCTAATGGCATCCTGGGTTGTATCAGGAATAGTGTGGCCAGCAGGACCAGGGAGGTGATAGTGCCCCTGTACTCGGCACTGGTGAGGCCGCACCTCGAATACTGTGTTCAGTTTTGGGCCCCTCACTACAAGAAGGACATCGAGGTGCTGGAGTGTGTCCAAAGAAGGGCAACGAAGTTGGTGAAGGGTCTAGAGAACAAGCCTCATCAGGAGCAGCTGAGGGAACTGGGGCTGTTTAGCCTGGAGAAGGGGAGGCTGAGGGGAGACCTTATTGCTCTCTACAGCTACCTGAAAGGAGGTTGTAGCGAGGTGGGAGTTGGTCTCTTCTCCCTAGTAACAAGCGATAGGACGAGAGGAAACGGCCTCAAGCTGCACCAGGGAAAGTTTAGGTTTCATATTAGGAAAAACTTCTTCACCGAAAGGGTAGTCAGGCATTGGAACAGGCTGCCCAGGGAAGTGGTTGAGTTCCCATCCCTAGAGGTATTTAAAAGACGGGTAGAGGTGGTGCTTAGGGACATGGTTTAGGGGTGGACTTGGCAGTGCTTGGTTAACGGTTGGACTCGATGACCTTAAGGGTCTTTTCCAACCTTAATGATTCTATGATTCTATGAAAATTATATTAAAATAAATTTCCAGATATAATTGGAAATAACAGTAAAATGCATATTAGGTACTTATTATTTCTGAATAAAATTCCATATATAAAATATATTTGTATTTAAACTAAGAATTTTGTTTTTGTTCTAAATCAAAACAAACAATATAAAAATCTTATTCTACCCCCTGCCCCCTTCTTTCTTATATTTTTCAGTTCAGAACTGTGTTAGATTTTGTTTCAGTAATGGCTGCTTGTTTTTAAAGTGGTAAACTTCTAGTGTCTCTGGACATATTCCATTCTTCCATGTGCATAACAGCCCTGACAGCTAAAGACCAAGCCTCCTATAGGTCACTTTCTTTGCAGTCTACCAGGCAGGCTGCTATAGAGATAATACCTGTGGACCAGAGTCCAGTTTAATTCATATAACAATAAACAAGTTAAATAAATTTCTATCACTAACGATGTGTGTTGGAATATATACATGCACAGGAAAAAAAACAAATGCCCCAGGGAGACTGACAGAAATTATTTCAAAAATACAAAAATTAACTTTGCAAATACAGGACAGAATGTGCAGCTACTCAACTTTTGAGAACTTACATGTCTGATGTAACCACTTACATGACTAATGTTAGTACTATAAACAGTTTAACAAATTACTGATTGTAATGATGACATTGTGTGGGAATCAAGAAATACTTCATTATATACAGTGTTGAGAAAGGATGTTAACTTTACGGAGGCTCCAGCCTCCGTAATGACTTACGTTAAGTGACTTCCCTTTTCCCATCCCATGGGACTGATCCCTCACCAACCTCCCAGACAGGGCTTTTACTCTGGCTGCTCCTCCAGCTGGCTGGCTGAGGATGTTAAGGAGGAACATAACAACACAGGGCATCGCAACGGGCACTTGAATGTTTTAAAGACTCGAAAAGAAGCTGGTCTGTCTTCATGAGAAAACTAGGTTCAGGTGCTAGTCATCAGTCCTGATATCTGATTCTTATTTGGCACATTTTAAAAAAGCTTCTACCTCAAGAAAATAGAAGAAAGCTATATTTATGACACAAGGTGAGTAGTATCTCAACAAGAATGTATGTGCACTGTTTCTTAGGGACAGGAATTTGTCCTGTGTGGCACAAGACAAAATCATCTGACTGAAAGAAATATGCTATATTTTGTACTTGATATACAAATAAGTCTACTCTTTTTTTTTTTTCCTGAAAATAAGAACAAATATGAAAATAAGATCAAATATTTTTAATGAACTTTGTATATTGATTATATAGTGTTCCACATTCTGTGTCAAGATACCCGTAAAATATTTATTTTCTCTGTATTACATGTAGCATTGGCAACTTGGCAGGGAATTTTTTTTGAGTGTTGTATGCATGTTGTATATAATCCTTTCAACCCATTGTATGCAATGGGTTTCCTTTCAACCAATTGTATGCAATTTTCACAGATATTTATTACAAATATAGACTGAATATATTAAGAGCTAAAACTGTTTGGATAGTCATCTCATCCAGTCTTACCTCTAGAAGATCATAACAATAATTATATCACATTTGGTGACTAGTGTTAGGCTACAGTGTTAAACTAGAGCAAAAAATCAAAGTGAAGAAATTTAACAAAATCCACCATGTCCATGGTGCATCTGGCTCAGCTATGAAACATGGAGATAAACACTGGCAGGAATACAGAAACAAGGAAAGTAGTGGCATAAAGTAACTTATCTGGCTCTATTGACTATCTAGAGTAATACCTTTACTGATACTGAACAATGTTTTCTCAGGTGGATGATATACTTTACTTTTCTACTCAGAGAAATAAAAAAAATACTGGGATAAGATTCTTTCTGTCCACATTTGAAAAACACTCAGATCACCAATCTGTGGCCTGATGTGACTGTATGCATATATCTGAGGAAAATACACTGCAAATGCTCATAAAAAGGAACTGTGGGTCCTTGTAAATGAAATTAGAGTAACAGACTTCTGAAAAATAGCATTATGTGAGAATTTCTAGTGCCTGGGTCAGCTTCAATGGCTTGCTTTGTCTTTGGTTTTAGGCACTTTTTCATAATGGTACTATATGGCAAACTAATCAGTGCCTGTAAGTTCATAGGGATACAGTTTTGAACTCTTATGAAGAGGTGTAGTAGGAAAAGGAGTGCTAAACCTCACTCGATGCTTTGAAAATTTACCTCCTAGTGCTCTTGAAAATTATTTCTCCTGCGTGGAGATGACTAGAAGGAAGGAAGTAATTAACTGAGGTAAGATGTTCCTAAAGAAAAAAAAAAAATACAACTAGAAACACAAGTTGCTTAAATCAGAACATTTATAGCTGATTTGGGGAAGTTCAGAAGCTGTAATCCTTAAAACTGATTTCTTCTGTGTTGTTACAAGGTAACTGGTTGCCTTATCAGCAATCAATAAATGGGAAGACAAGTGTTGTTTTGCAAATAGAAACTTGGGAGTTTTACACCCTCTGTCATCTTCAAAAAGGAGATTTCTGGTAGTTTCTGGCAGATTATTCAAAGAAATATCATTTTTTGTTTCCAGTTGGTCATTTCAAATACTGTTCCAATGTCTTCTACATCCCCCTGTGTCATTATGACTTTGTTTAGAACTATTTTTGTCTATGACTGAGTCTCAAATTTGCAATTTTTCCAACAGTGAAACAGAAGATAACCACTGCTGACCCCAATTACAGTCAAGATTGTACAGACTTATTCATATATGCTGAATGATTTGGTCTGTAATAACAATACATATATTTATAGAATTCTTCTTTTCTACCTCCCTGAAGCTACACACTGACCAAGATAAAGGAGATGGAAATTTAAAATACATATTAACAGGAGATGGGGCTGGCAGTCTGTTCATTATAGATGAAAATACAGGAGATATTCATGCTGCAAAGAAATTGGACAGAGAAGAAAAGTCCCTGTATGTGCTACGTGCTAAGGCTATAGACAGAAAAACTGGAAGACAAGTGGAGCCAGAGTCTGAATTTATTATTAAAATCCACGATATCAATGACAATGAACCAAAATTCACCAAGGACCTGTACATCGCCAGTATTCCGGAGATGTCTGGAGTTGGTAGGTAAAAATTTATCCTTATGTAAAATACAAACACGTTTGAGTTGATTTGGAACTTATAAGTAATTTATTATTTGAGACACTTAACACTAACTTCTGTGAATATCCATGGAACAATTTTTGTTGCCAGTAATGTATCATAAATGATTGGATCCTGCTTTTATTTATTTGTTTCATCTTCATCCATTTTTTAATCCTTTTTCCACACTATAAGCTACCCTCTACTCTTTTAAGCCCACCCAAACCATCAAGGAATGTAGCATATATGGTTGTCTTACCTGTTACTACATGGTTTTGCCATGGCTGAGAATATCACTTGCATAAAATGTATCTTCTTTGTATTTGTAAAGTCTAATTACCAAACCTTTCTGTATCTTTAGACACAAACAGCTTTGAGCACGTAAGTATGTAAATTGATTAATGCACCAAAATGATGCCAAATATGATCCTACAAATACCTAAAAATTTGGGTGGGTTTTTTAAATTATTTTTTCCTTTTGGTATCAATATTAGTACTTGTTGTTGGTGGGTTTTTTTAATATGGACTTGTCTGTTTGTTTTTTTTTTAAGAGAGAAAACATATGAACAACTTCTCCAAAGAAATAACTCTTTTTGTTTAAAAAATATTTTTCTTCATGGGTAAAAACTTAGAGCTATTCACAGCTGCCGCAATAAAAAGTAACTGTGGAGTGACAGTAGAAGACAGGTGAGAAATATAGCATCAAAGGAAAATAATTCTCTGAGTTTTGTTCAAATAATATAAAGTGATAGATAATATTCACCAGCACACATTCATCAGAAGTTATCATGATTACCTAAGTGCTCCACTCTTTTACAGTAGAGACAGTCTCTCTGATAAGATGAGTAAGCATAAAATACGTATGCTATGGGAAACAACTGACAGATCAATTCTCATGAGTTATTTACTTACCATGAATTACTGTAATGGTTTGCAAAATCATCCCTGGATGATGGCATTGCTAAGAGAAACAATAAAATACCAGTCAACATTTGTGATTAATACATATCTTTGTAAAATAATTTCCAGAAGCTAATAATTATCTCTGAGAGCAGTAACAGAAGTATAATGGAACAGGACTCTATTTTATAACTCTCTTTTATAATCATAAGAAGGCAATAACTACACTACTATGTATAATGTGAAGAGTCTAAGAATGGTTCTTTTAAAGTTACATGGAAAATAGAGAGATCCTTTCCATTCAGAATTTACTTTGCTGATAATCTGTGACGGAAAAATATCGGCAGTGCGCCTGTCATATTTAATTTGAAATATATTTGTAAGGAAGGAACTCTATAGGAATAGATAGGATAAAAAGCATGATGTCCATGTTTAACCTTATCACTTAGTCCAACTTCATTAGCGTCAATGGAGAAGCATGAATAAAAGAGAACAGAATAAGACCCAGTGCTTTGCCACTGCCTGTGAAATTTTAAGTCTATGAAACGTCTATATTTAATGAGGATGACAATAGTGTAAGTACCATTATGTACTTTAAGCTGAGAAAGTGTCCATAAAAGACCCAAGTAAAGGTGATTTTTACTGTGAAGAAAGAATTAGAGGGAAAGGATTTAAACAATAAAAAAAAGCTCCTTAGCTTCTAATACGAAGGCAAAAAAGAGATCCAAGTTACTCTTTGCTGTGTTTAGTTGACATTTTCATTTGGGGATATAAAAACTACACTGGAATGGAATTTTTAGTATTTGAATTTGAATGAGTAAAAGTAGTTTTGTAATTTCTTAAAGTAGCAGCAAATAAGAACCCAAATCCAGATCAGTCCATTCAAGAAGCAGAAATTCCATATTTCTGAAGTCAGTCATAAGAATGCTTATTCAACAGTCAGGATGTACATATAGGTAAATAAGGAATACACAAATATATTCCTTCTTGGAGTCCCTTTGTCCTCCTCCAGATGAGGAAGCAGATGCCATAACTGGAGAAAATTACTTGGGAGTGAAAATGTGAGATTCTTGCCATAAGTGGAATAGAACTTACAAGTGAGTAAGCAGCACTCTTGTAAACCTTCCCATAAAGCACACAAGAGAACACATAAAATACAGAATGAAGATATCTTGAAATATCTAGACAAAAGAAAGCTATATAAATGTAAGCCAGCAAATATGCACTAGGCAGCACATACAACAAAATGCAGGGAAAAGAAGAAAAAAAGGGTGACAAAAATTAAACTCAAACCTGATACAGTGTGGTAATGGGCTGTGTAAGTAGCTCCTGGTTCATTCTTTCCACACTGGCTAGGATATCCATTAAAAAAATCTCCAATGCATTATGAAAATGGCATTTAAGCAGTTGTCATTATTCTTCATTCAATAGGTATGATTTAATGAACAACTACTAGGTTTTTTTTGTCTGGATATGCAGTCCAAAGAATTTTTTCCTGAACATAGTGTTTATTGCGGTGTTTTTTCTCACAAATTTACAGAATTGTCAATTATGGAAGTAGGTTTATTATACCTCAACATTCAATCTGTTCAGTGATTTTGGTATATATTGGTGTTTGCAGCTTAGATAGGTGTTGAATAGAAGTCCAAAAGCTAAATTTGGTAAGAAGTAGACCAAACCTTTTAGTCGGTTTTAGACTGTAAAATTTAAAATGGAATTTGAGGTTGAAGGATCATGTAAAATAAGTCATGAAGGAAGAATAAACTGAGGAATTACTGAGTGAGCAATGCATATAAGGGTTATTGCTGCTGTAAAAGTAAGAGCATCTGAAAGAAAATATACTGAAAATGAAAAGAAAGAAAAAAAAAAAAGACTAAGATCACAAAAGTGCATTCCAGAAAACTGGAAGACTTCAGAATAAATAATGAAGTGCCCCTTAATTCTATATGGTCTTGTATAACAAAAGGAAGAAAATAAAAGTAATAAAATAAAAGCAAGAATCCCTGGAATAGGGTGATCATCTTTACTAAGACTGCATCACATGAAAAAATAAATCTGTGTAGTCCTGCACAAATACTTAAGATGATGAAGGTTATTTGTTATAACTATATATACATAGATTCTTGCATACCTAAACAAATAACTTTTCTGACTGGAAAGAACTACACAATTAGACAATATACATTTTAGGAAATAAATATACTCATGATGAACTGGTCAAAAATTTGTAGGAAAATCTCAGTTTCTTCCCATCCTTCACTTCCTCCCAATTTTGTGTCTTAAAATATTTTTTTTCTTAACTATTATATTTATTATGTTTGCCAAGTTCAACAAATATGACAGCAGATATTTATGAAAGCTCAGGAAAATGTCACTAAAAGATTGAGAAATTGAAGAGGAGTCATCACTAGCAATGTTTCCAGCTGCATGTGTATCTGGTATTCAAATGACATATCATACTACGTATTTCTCACTGTGTTACTGACTGTTTCTTGGAAAAATTAGATCTAGAGCACACAAGGGAAAATGATAAGTCAACACCTCTGACAGAATGTGTGCTTTTCAGTACCAATAGGCAAACCTCACTCACGTTTCACTAGTTTGATAGTAAGAACAGTGAAAGCGTAACATGGATTTTCGGCAAAACCTATCTAAGCCCAGGGGGAAATATGAATGCTTACTTGTGCACTAGTTTGTGCTAATTCTACGTTGTAATATCTACAATGCAGCCATCAAGCTATAAATAAATTTGCCTTGCTATGCCTAAATGGGATCCAGTCATATCTCCAACAGCATTATGGGTATACCTAAAATGCTGTGTAGCAAAGAGTACCAGAAGCAGTGAGCTGACTCCAGTGTCATTTCAGATAGCTTTTATGGAAATGATCATGCTAAATGCTCACAGTGATATTAACTTAAAAAAATAAATGAGAAAGTTAGTTTAAGAGATTCTAAAACTCAATAACATGGAATTTCTCATTAAAATTGGCTACTATACTGAAGAACAGGAGGATAATAACTGCTGTAGCTATATTTTTAGAGTGCTAGAATTGACTGGAAGAATCCTGAGATTTATGTCAGACTAGGTAAATTGATTCAATAAAAAATATTTCCAAAAAATGAGAAAAAGATCCTAGACAGACCCATAAAGGTGAAAGGAAAGGAAAGGAAAGGAAAGGAAAGGAAAGGAAAGGAAAGGAAAGGAAAGGAAAGGAAAGGAAAGGAAAGGAAAGGAAAGGAAAGGAAAGGAAAGGAAAGGAAAGGAAAGGAAAGGAAAGGAAAGGAAAGGAAAGGAAAGGAAAGGAAAGGAAAGGAAAGGAAAGGAAAGGAAAGGAAAGGAAAGGAAAGGAAAGAAAAGGAAAGGAAAAGAAAGGAAAGGAAAGAAAAGAAAAGAAAAGGAAAGGAAAAGAAAGGAAAGGAAAGGAAAGGAAAGGAAAAGGAAAGGAAAAAGGAAAGGAAAGGAAAGGAAAGGAAAGGAAAGGAAAGGAAAGGAAAGGAAAGGAAAGGAAAGGAAAGGAAAGGAAAGGAAAGGAAAGGAAAGGAAAGGAAAGGAAAGGAAAGGAAAGGAAAGGAAAGGAAAGGAAAGGAAAGGAAAGGAAAGGAAAGGAAAGGAAAGGAAAGGAAAGGAAAGGAAAGGAAAGGAAAGGAATGGAAAGGAAAGGAAAGGAAAGGAAAGGAATGGAAAGGAAAGGAAAGGAAAGGAAAGGAATGGAAAGGAAAGGAAAGGAAAGGAAAGGAATGGAAAGGAAAGGAAAGGAAAGGAAAGGAATGGAAAGGAAAGGAAAGGAAAGGAAAGGAATGGAAAGGAAAGGAAAGGAAAGGAAAGGAATGGAAAGGAAAGGAAAGGAAAGGAAAGGAATGGAAAGGAAAGGAAAGGAAAGGAAAGGAATGGAAAGGAAAGGAAAGGAAAGGAAAGGAATGGAAAGGAAAGGAAAGGAAAGGAAAGGAAAGGAAAGGAAAGGAAAGGAAAGGAAAGGAAAGGAAAGGAAAGGAAAGGAAAGGAAAGGAAAGGAAAGGAAAGGAAAGGAAAGGAAAGGAAAGGAAAGGAAAGGAAAGGAAAGGAAAGGAAAGGAAAGGAAAG